ACTCTGGGCTGTGGCTGGGGCTAGCCACCTGGAGCACAGCCCTGGCTCCACCCACCCCACAGACCGCAGCCCAGCAGTGGGAGCTTGCCTCCGGGAGCACAGCCCTGGCCAGGGAGGGGGAGGGGCAACTCATTATGCTGCGTGCCGCCAGACCGGGAACTGCTCGTATGGTAGCTTGTCCAGCAGCTCTCGCCACTGCTGGGCAGGTACATGTGCTCCAGGATCTGCACAAGGTGGGCAGGGCTGGGGCTGCACAGGGCGAAAGGCAGAAAGTGCTGGGAGCAGGGGCTATGCCTCCCCACTGCTAGCCCAGCCAGCGTGAAGCCAGCACAAGGCTGAGTCCCTATGATGCAGTGGTGGGAGCCAGCCCAGCCTCCCCACACCTCACAGATGAGCAGCAGCTTTGCCCCAGCTCTGTAAGCAACAGCAGGGCACAGGGGGGCATGTGCCACTCGAAAACTCGCTGTAGCCCCCCCATGGTCCCTGCTCTGACACCCTCCTCACCCTGATCCAGAGGCACACACCCCACCCCTGTCCCTCCCCCCGGCATGCCCTGCCGCCATTCACCCAGCTGGGGCAAAGCCACTGCTCGTCCACGAGGTGTGGGGAGCATCCTCAAGGACTCCTGCCTGTTTAGTCTATGGCCGAATCTCCAAACTGGCACCAAATGTTTTCCAAATCAATTCAGATGCTTCCAATTCAATTCAGAGCTTTAAATGGATCTCCTGGTTCAATTCGGATTTGGCTGCCAAATCTCCTCTGAATTGAATCAGCTACCAAAGCTTTGCACAGCCCTATTGTGCACACCCCCTGGAGTAGGGATCTCTGATCAGACTAAAGCAAGCAGGAGAGCTTTAGGCCTTCCCGGTCTGACCCTGCATGGTGTCACCCAGAAACAGAGGTATGCAGGAGGTGGTCCAAGCAGGGAGGAAGACAGCACAACCCAGCTCTCCCAATTGCTTTAGATGGATCAAAGAGCCCTAATGCAGCAGGAGTGCATGCATGCTACAACCCTGCCTCTGGGGCAGTTTTACTTGGTTACTGTCTCCGTGGCAGCAGCACCTGTATCATGTCACCCCTAAAGGGGTCCTTCTTCATCCTGGTTGAGAAACACCGAGCTAAACCGAAGAGGGAAAGAACAAAATAGGAGGAATTTCAAACGTGATAGAAAATGGAAAGTTTCTCTGTGAAGAAGGATTGAAAAGTCTTGGGTTGTGTTAGTTTGCAAAAGGACAGCAATAAAAGAAAGGACAGGATAGAACAATGGTATTAGAGAAATAACACACAATAAAGACATGGTAAGATATGCGCTCCTGTTTATCCTTTTGCACTATTCAAGAATAAGGTTGTGTTTGCATTTAATGACATTGAAAGGCAACTGCATCAAAACGGTGAAAAGGAAGCTTAAAAATTAACTGCACATAATTCAAATTCACAACTGATTGCCATAGGATACCACTGAGGTAAAAAATGTAGCAGGATTAAGGAAAGATATTTATTTAGATAAAAACATCCTGGGTTGTATAAGAAAGGATTAAATTAATGATTGAAATTAGAGAGATAAACCTTTGGACTGGAGGGCATAACTGAACCATTGCTTCATTTAGGAAGAAACATACCTTGTTAGCACGTGATTGTAAAATTGTCCATTATAGGGTTTTGTGGATCTTCATCTGTAGCGTTTGGTGCGGACTCCTGTCAGAGACCATGGCAGCAAACTAGAGAGGCCACTGGTTTGATCCTGTGTAGACATTCCTAACAGAAAGAACTGAAGATACCCGTCTCTACTCTGCCTCTATATTAAATCACTGCTTTGCTAACGTTGTGCTTTTTTTTTCTGTCCCCTGTTGTAATCACACCCAAGATTGTTTTTGGTGCTGGAATTTATTCCATATTATAAATCTTTGTCTCTCAGTGATCTTCAGAATTGTTAAAAATACTCAAATACTTCCTTGTAATACTTATAAACCTATTTCTTTAAGGATTAGAAAACAAAACTGTTCTTTGACTTGACTGATTTGAAATTGCTTTCCCATGTGCAAATATTTTATTTTTGTGTAAATAAACTTTTAAAAATTCATTATTCACCATACACAAGCAGTTCTTTTATTTACATGCTCTGAATAATAACATATCTTTTCTTCATTTAGGTTGTGAAAACTTTTCTCAAAGTAGTTCTGTTATATTAATGCTACCTACTGAAGAGCAAATTTCTGCTATGTTTAGTTCATCAGTAACCACTATTTTTGTGACATGTACTCATGCTGAAAACTCTAGATTGGATAGACTAACTATTATATATAATAATGAACTGATGTTTAGAGGTGGATTCCATGAGGAATATGTTTTAGTGTTTTCTGCAAAAAATAAAATCCCCATCCAGCCTGGATAATGACACGATGTAAACTTAACTTAATGAAGATCAGTGTAGTCTTGTGAGCATTTAAAAGAGATTTTGATTTTTGTATTTCAAGTGTCATGACTGAATCAGAACATTTGTAAACTGAGAGCAAATTTCCCTTGGATAATCCATGGGTTCAGTTTAACAACATCATTTCAGTTTGTAAACAACAGTTTACAATGTTCAGAAAACAAAAATAGTATCATTGCTGCAAATGAACTTATTTCAAATAGTGACATGAATGATAATGTCCATAGCATTAATCTCCATTTAAATGCATAGGGCAATTAGTACAACAGGAAATAAACCTGCCTGAATTTAACAAACCCATCTGTAAATGTTTTGGGATCATTATATTACAGGTGGAGAACTTACTCTTCCAGAACAAACAACAGGAAATACAGAGCAAAACCATGAACATTCAGCAGGCTCATGTAAACTCTAGCAACTCTCTCATATATAAAATGTAAACTTAGAATTAATCCTTTTTACTAAGGTCATCAGTTTATTACACAAGAACTAATCTAAAATAACTAATTGTCATTATGAGCTGTTCTTTTCGTTTTTTCTTTTATGAAGATAGTAACTTGACTTGACCAAATGCCTTAAAAACCCTGTAAAACCATTCCCAGGCACGAATCTGAGATTCCTGCTACAATACATGACTAAGACTGTTCTTATGCAGCATTAGCAATTCTCAGTGCATTTTAAAAAGTTCAGGCATTTTTCAGCCTGCCCATATTCAGGGGGTGATATTAGAAACTTCAGTAATTAGCCAAAAGAATTATTCCTCTGTATTAAAATAGAAATGTGACAGAGGCCTAATTAGCTGGTGACCCTCCATTCCCCTCTGTGCTGAATACAACCATAGCCAGAAACAACAGAGATGTGCTATTGCTCAACCAGATATTGACACTTGGACCTTTTTGTACCAGAATCTCGTAGGGCTTTGGCATATTAAGTCTCCCCATTTTCCTATGAGAGAGTTTAATGCACAGATCCTCAACCCCTGGCCAATGGGCCAGATCCAGCGCCATCAAGTGCTGTCATCCAGTGTGTGGGGCTCCCCACGAGCCCAAGACTTTGGAAGGGGGG